GGATATGGAGACTATACCAGTAGGCGAAAGATTAGGGAGACGATAGAAATCAACAAAACAGCCAACACCCTAAATAGAAGGAATGAGTGTAGGAAGTTAAGCGGAAACTACTTGTGGCTATTGGATACGTTTAAAGAGAGAAAGGGAACGAGAAGTACCACCGAGCAAGAGGAGGCTTGATTAGGCTGGAATATGGTTTTGACTCTCACATCAAACTCATTTCAAGAGCAATGCGCTGAGAGCACGTGTGCAATGGGACGCAATCATATTCGGTTACATTGCAGGATAAAGGGCATGTGTTTTAGGAGAGGATTTGGCTGCTCGGTCACAATTGCACCTGTTTCACTCTTCATCTGCAACTACTTTACATGTAATCCGCAGCCACTTCACTTACATTTACGCAAAATAGGATATCCAGCCAAAGCATGATATGCTTAATTGGACCAAATTGGGCTATTAGAAGTAGGCTGGTTTGAAGCCGGCCACTTTTTGCCTTCGTATTTTGGTGAATTATCGTTAGCCATGGTGTCCTGCTCTGACGATGTTGCAAAGTTGTACTTGTTTCCTCGAGCAGACTACACTTATTGAGTACATCTTCACTTTATTTCTTAAACTTCCTTACCCTCTTCTTATTTTTGATCCCTTTTACTCTTGTTTACGAGAGATCCTTGATTAAGGAGTCTTCTTTTTATTTGTCTTGACTAGCCTTGTTTTCTCCGAATTTGTTTAGGCAAACGGCGATATTATCGCTAACTCTGCCTTCCTTTCTTCTGTTCATAAAATGTTTTCCCCAAAGATGTCAATGACCTATCTAATCTTCTGTCTCCTTGTGTTTTCACTGTATGAGACTTCTTTCTGTTGCCTTCCAATTAATCTCGTGTCCATTCTGTGCGATGTATTCTGCTGTTTCTGATCTTTCGGTATCTATTTTCTTGCTGAACCTTTGCCATTCCCAGATTCGTATGCCAATTTTTCTCCTTGTTTCGCCAATTTATTTTTCTTTGGAGGCTTCGATTTCTATGCCGTAAACTCCCAAGAAATCAAATTCCTCGACAATGGATATCCAACAGAAGTAATACAATGAAGCATACTGGTCATGAAG